TCTGCCAAGAGTTCCATTGTTTCTTTGAAAATATCTTAAAGGGCTTGCCTTTGTGATAGAAGTTTTCTACTACTGCTCCAGGGTTTGGCTAACATAAATATGCATAGCATAATTAGATTTATTATTGCTGTTAATCATATCTTACAAAACATGAATGTACTTTCAAACATTTAAACCTGGTTTGTTTGGGGAATAACTATCACCTTTTCCATTTGAAATAACCAGTGTTTCAGCAGAGATGTATCTGATTTACTATCAAGTGTTCCTGCCAGAATAAAAACACTGAATTTATTGCAGATGGTTTGTAATTTCACCCTTGGGACATTCTTACTAATGCTGCATCTTAAAGATTTGAGCCAAGTTTAATTCATAATTGCCTTTAGTTTTTTTCATCTGTTTTTGGCTTAGATGAAGTAATGCATCTTTCAGGCATTCACCAAATAAACTAGAATTTGTTGTGAGCATCTCCTTAAATACAAACAGCTCATAAGCTGAACTTACCTATATTAGCAACCACATTATTGATGGCTTGTACATACCATTTTAAGATACAAGCAAATTGGTTCAAGTGAATATGCTATTATAACCCAAAATGGATGCTATTAATTCATCCCTGTCAATATAATTGGTTATTTTCATCAAACTTAATTCTGTTTTATCAAATTAATCATGAAGACAGCATAGTAGGCTGCCATAGGGGTGAAAAATTATGTGATAGCTCCCCCATGTTTATATACTGCAGGTGGGTATAGTAAAGATGGAATATTATTTTTTTTGTCTACTTGGAAAATGATGTGTTGCACTTTAATAGAGGAGGAGACAACTTTTACATACCGTATATGCCGGCGTATTAGGCGACCCGGTGTATAAGACGACCCCCGTCTTTATAGCCGGGCCGCATTCCTAGAACGTCATACGCCGGAAACTACCAGTATTTCCGGCGTATAAGACGACCCCCGTCTTTGGCGCCGATTTCAGCACTCGCGGAAGTCATCTTATACGCCGGCATTTACGGTATATAGTCTGACATATATTGGGTTCCTTTTGAAGGACTAGCAGTGGGAGATAATAGATGTCTAATACAAGTGCATATGCTGCCTTTAACATATGTGTTTAATTGATGGAGTCATGTTACTGACAAGATAATGAATTGCAAAAAAAATTGTTATTAATACATATGTTAAACAGTTTGTTTCTATTTCTTTACAACTGCTGATAAAAAAATGGCCTGGCAATGTTCAAATTATACACACAAGAGAACAGGCTTAGGTGAGGGGGAAAGTGTTACAATTCAATCTATTTATGAATATGAATGAATATGTCCACAATTGCCCAGTGTATTTTAATAATGATATTGAACTGTGCTATGAGGAGCTTACAATTTACATTTCTTATTCTTAGGGAATTAATAACAGAAAGAAAATGGATTGAAAAAAGTAGATGCAAAAGTAACATTAGATAAATATGAGAAAATATAGTTGCACATCCTTAAATAATTTATTTTTATAAACAGTATATAAGCTGTTAAAATATAGCTTTTTGTATCCAAAAGTAGATTTTGAGAGAAAAATAAAGAAAAGATTGTGTTACAATACTGATGATTTATATAAAGTTTGTGTTTAAAGGAAAGCTAGAAAAGACCCATTTTAGAACAACAAATTGCTGGGTTGTTGTTTTTTTTTTTTTTTTGACATTATCAACATTTCAGCAGAGTCCATGTGCGTGCCTGCCTCGCGCTCACCCTGTGTCAGCCAGGCTCTCCACGGCATGCTGCAGCTGATTGGAGGCGGCTGGCCAGGCACTAAGTGCCGAAAACAGCAGAGTCTGTGCACGTCTGCTACGCACTCCCGTCAGACATGCTCTCCACACCTCGGATCAGCTGCAGTGCGCCGTGGAGAGCAAGGCTGATGCGGGCTAGGCAGGCACGCACAGAGACTCCACTGTTTTCAGCTGCAGTGCAGCATGGAGAGCCTGGCTAACACGGGGTGAGCACAAGGCAGGCGTGCACATGGACTCTGCTTTTTTCGGTGGGGCTTTGGTGCTTAGCCGGCCGCCTCCAATCAGCTGCAGCACGCCATGGACAGCCTGTCTGACACAGGGTGAGTGTGAGCAGGTGCGCACATGGAGTCCGCCTTTTCCGGTGGGGCTTTGGTGCCTGGCTGGCTGCCTTCAATCAGCTGCAGTGTGCCATGGAGAGCCTGGCTGACACAGGATGAGCGCGAGGTAGACACGCACACAGATTCCGCTTTTTTTGGTGGGGCTTCGGTGCCTGGCCAGCCGCCACCAATCAGCTGTAGCGTACCATGGAGAACCTGGCTGACACGGGTTGAGCAGGAGGCAGACGCACACACAGACTCCACTTTTTTTGGTGGGGCTTCGGTGCCTGGCCAATTGCCCTCTTTCTTCTCCCTATTCCTTTGACAGCAGTGGGGTTTGGGGATGATCAATTCCTATTTGTGACATGGCCAACCAATCACCGTGTCCTCCTCTTGGGAGGGCAACACCAGCTGCCAATGCAGCAACAGAAAAGGCGGAAGGCAATGCCACCCACCAGACCAGCCTAGCAGCACAGGAACTGCAGTTCTCCTCAGCTTTGGGAAGGCTGTGCAATGGAAACATGACGGTGGGTGCCGTGGGGCACTCACTGAGGAAGCTGCTGCCAGTAACGGAGCTCGCTCACTTCCTGCCCCATCACTTCCAAATGCCATGTGCTCGCTACTCTGGCAAACTCTTCTGGGGTGACGGCATATGTGCCAACAGAGAGGGCTCCGAGTGCCATCTCTGGCATGCGTACCGCAGCTAGGGCTATATCGGAGACCCCAGAAAAAAAAAAGAAGAGGCTTCTGACCATGCACAAAGTGCATGTAATATTTCCAGGGACCCAATCTGAGCCTCTATCCAGAATTAAGTGCTACTCCCCACTTCCCACCCCCAGTCCTCTCACTCACAAGGAGACAGTGTGGTTGGGCTGCAGGGAGGGATGCAAAGTTCCCGCCAACTCGCCTCCGCTGCAGACAACTTGGATGTGCAGCGTTTGTTGGCCGGGTCTTTTGGCACACTCAGCAGTGCAGAGACAGCCATTAACCACCAGGTCTGGGCAATTCCTATTGGTTTTCGAAAGCCAACAGAGGGAGTAGCACAGCCCATGCAGGAGACAGCAGCCAAGTCTGCCAGGCGCAAGCACGCAAGTCGTGCCCTGGAACTAACCATATACCGTTCCCGTTAGGGGCAGCAGAAGTTGACAATCCGTCAAAAAAAGGTGCCAGAAACCTGTTCTGTGCATTCTATGACAAAAAAGCCCTGAATATTTCTAATATTTAATGGAGGCAGCTGTACACCTAAAAAATCTTTAAAAATGAAAATAAAATATTTTCATTCTGCAAAAGTTATGTTCTTTATTTTTCAAAAGTATTCAGCAATACTGCATTTGTTAAGATGTGAATCTTAGATGAATTCATTAATCATATGGCTTATGAACAAAAACTCTTCTTTATTAAACTTTTAAGATTGCAATTCTTTACATATTATCTGAGAAACAATCAGCTTTGAATTTAGGCAGATTATTTCTAAAATTGCTCTTTCATCTTAGACATTTATCTCTCTCATTATTTGGTAAAATAACAAAATATAGGCTAGTCTGGCAAGGCAACAAGAGATATAAGTATAGACTTATAAATGTAAACAGATACACATAAATAAATATTGAACATCCTAGTTTCATCATTTCCAAATATTTTAGGCTATAAATATGTATAGTGATTTTTTTTCTGAAAGCATACAGGTGTTTAAGAGATTATAGCAGTTATATTTGGCTTGAGCAAATAACATTTTTCAAAATAAACTTTTTTCCCAGTTATTGAGGGATTTATGCTTGATTACAGCTCTACAAAAGGTTTTTTTTTTAACCACAGATATATGCCCTCATAAAGAAACAATTGTATTTTCAAAGTAGAATGACCAGAGCAATCCATCTGTATGTAATTTAGTACAAGGAAAGAAATGGCAGGTTTAAATTACACGGTACTGAATTGCAATTTCCTAACATTGGGTGCTTTTCTGCTTTTTTACCCTCAATCATTACTAAAGTGTGTTCACAAAAAAGTAATTTTAATTTTAAGTAAAGTTGTTTCTTTTTTCTTCCTCTTTATACCATGTAAAAAGAAAGTCAGTATGTGCTGGTCTCCATCAACATTATCTGTGTACATAATGCACAATAGTACAAAACCTTAGCTGTTGGTTGCAAGGTCCTGAAAAGAAATATTTTTATTTCTCAGACTATACATTAGTTTTAATCTAAGCATTCTTTAAAAGTAGCCTTTTTGCTGCAAGGCCTACATTTATTTCTGCAGAACATACTTTAATAGAAGAATTTGAAGACCACAGCTTCCAAATTAGGAAAATTTTCTACAACCTGGTTTTTTGAACCTAAAATATAAACATAACTTTCTAACAGTAAATGTGTTTTATAATATTCAGTTGCTTATTTTAAGAACTCAAATAATGGAAACTTATACCCTCAAACTATGAAACAGTCTTTTACTTGAAAGTAAAAAAGATTGCTCTGTTAGAAAGCAATGTTAAAATTCCCACAAATGCTATCATATAGAACAGTGGTTCTCAACCTGTGGGTCGGGACCCCATTTGGGGTCAAACGACCATTTCACGGGGGTCGCCAAACAACGCAGTCCGCCATTTTTTTCCACTTTTCCTTAGCTGTGCTACTCCCTTTTATTCTATTGGCTTTTGAAAGCCAATAGAATAGACTCTCTTGTATAGAGTCTAATTCTATTGGCTTTCAAAAGCCAATTGGAATTGTCCAGGTTGTCTCTGCCCTGCTGAGCCTGCCAAAAGTCCCATTCTGTAAACGGTGCTGCACCAGTTGAGTAGTCCTCGACTTACGACCGGTTGAGTAGTCCTCGACTTACGACCGATTGGGGGGTCGCGGCATTAAAAAGGTTGAGAACCACTGATATAGAATAAGACTAAGAATTCATTACAACCCTTGCTCATATACCATGTCTATAAAGAGGCTATTTGTTTTATTTTTGTTGTCTATTCTATTTCAGGGCACAAAACATACTATACTATCTTTTCTTATCTTATTTGCTGCGACAAATAGACTATACCACTTAATGAACAAAGAAATCAAATGGTAACAGAAGAACAATTTTTTTAAAAATGCTTATATGGAATAACTGTACTACAGTTCTTGGTGACTTACAATTACTTTTTTTAAAATCTAAAATAAACTTTAAGATAAAAGAACAAATCTAGCCATAGCAACATTTTAGATTATCCTTGAGCTCTGAAACAATTTGGTGCTTTTAATATTACTTTATGATCAAATGTCCACCAAAAGGAGTGTTGGCTTACCTGAATGCCTTTTCTCAGCATGATGAAGAAGAATCCACCAATGGGTTATTTCAGTCCTCCTGCCCAATCAGACCAAGTTGTCAAGTTGTCATGCCTCCTCATTATCTGGGGACCTCCCAGTTTTCATCAACGGGCAAAGCCATTGACAACAGTACGATGTGATGACTCTCAAGCAGGTAGTAACAATAACTAACAGAACGACCATCCCACCTGGACCTGACTGACTTCTACTAAGGGAGGGCGTGGATTCTTCTTCATCATGCTGAGAAAAGGCGTTCAGGTAAGCCAACGCTCCTTCTCCAGCATGATGACAGAAGAATCCACCAATGGGACGTACCAAAGCTTCTCGAGTCCCTAAGGGTGGTAGTCAGTAGGGGCCGGGCCCCCAGATGGTGTGACTACTTGTTGTAGGATACGTCTACCAAAGGCGGCCTCAGCCGAAGCACACTTGTCTAAATGGTAATGTCTAATGAATGGAGATGGCGACGACCACGTCGCCGCCCTGCACATGTCCTCAATGGACGCCTGTGTTGCCCACGCCGCAGTTGCAGCAGCAGTGCAGGTAGAGTGAGCCGTCACATGAGGAGGAACTTGTAAGGCCAGAGAGACATAAGCGTTTGAAATACAGGCCCTTATCCACCTTCCTATGGTGGAAGCCGAAACCTTTTGCCCCATAGACGAAGGCTGAAAGGACACAAATAGGGTTTCCGACTTACAGAAGGGCTTAGTGTGTTTGATATAACATCGCAAGGCCCTCCTTACGTCCAAAGTGTGCCAGCGTCGCTCTACTTCATGTGACGGGTGAGGGCAAAAATTTGGGAGGATAACCTCCTTAAATTCCATTAACCTTTGGAATAAATGAAGGGTCAAGCCTGAGAACTACCCTATCCTCGTGGAACGTGCACAGGTCTTTTCTAACCAAGGCCGCTAACTCTGAAATGCGCCTGGCCGAGGTAATAGCTATGAGAAAGGAGACCTTGAATGACAAATGTTGTAATGAGCACGTTTTGAGTGGTTCAGAAGGAGAAGATGTTAGAGCTTGAAGCACTCGGGGTAGGTCCCAGGAGGGATACCTGTGAATTACAGGCGGTCTGGTATTTGAGACCCCTTTAAGAAAAGCCCGAATGGCTGGATGTCTTGATAAGGAGCCCGAGGAGTCCCATGACAAAATTGAGGACAGGGCTGCTAACCGTCTGCACAAAGTGTTGGGTGCCAACCCCTTGTTGATGCCCTCCATTAAATATTCCAGAACCCTGGGAATCGTCACCTGTGATAGACTTACGTGTTTCTTGTCACACCATTGACAGAAATGCTTCCATGTATGGTCATAAAGCCGGTTTGTTGCCGGTCTCCTGGCCGCCTGTATCATAGCAATCACCTCCACTGAGTAAGATTCCCTGGTTAGGGTGCAGCGTTCAAGTGCCAGGCGGTCAGTTGAAGCCATTGGGGATCTGGATGTTGTAGATCTCCCTGTATCAGCCTTATTTGGCTGTCGGGAATCCTCCATGAAGCTGAAAATGAAAGACTCACCAGATCCACGAACCATTGTCTCCTGGGCCAGTAAGGGGCAATGAAGATCACCTCCGCTTGTTCCTCCAGGAGCTTCCTGATTGCTGCTGGAAGTAGAGGCAATGGGGGGAAGGCATACAATAGGCTTTGTGGCCACCTGCTGTGAAGCACGTCCGTTCCCTTTGCTCCCCGAGAAGGGAACCGGGAAAGGAATCTGGGAAACTGAGCGTTCTCCGGGGAGACAAACAGGTCCATGATCGGACTGCCGAATTTGGCTGATATCTCCCTGAAGATATCTGGATGAAGCATCCATTCCGAATGATCTATTGTCGACCTGCTGAGGAAATCTGCCTGTCGATTTCCCTCCCCCGAAATGTGTTCGGCTCTGATGGAGAGCAGGTATTTCTCTGCCCAGGTGCCCAATGCTCGGGCTTCTGTCATGAGGGATTTCGACCGTGTGCCCCCCTGCTGATTCACGTGGGCCTTTGCAGCCACGTTGTCTGTTTGAATCAGTAAATGCTGGCCCCTGACTTCTGTGTGGAAGTTTTGAAGAGCTTGATAAATCGCGCTGAGCTCCAACCAATTTATGTTGTGTTTGAGATCTGCTTGCAACCACCAACCCTGAGCTATCCGGGATTGGAGGTGAGCCCCCCAGCCAAAGAGACTGGCGTCCGTGGTCACCTGAAGGCGGCTGGGTTGTTTGAACAAGGTCCCTTTGCTGACAGCTGATGAAGTCCACCAGCCAAGGGAAAACCGTACTTGATGGGGAACCCAAACCCGTCTGTTGGACGTACTGGTATGCTGTCTTTGGTATGGGAGAAGAAACCACTGAAGCTCCCGGGTATGTAGCCGAGCCCACGGCACGATTGCTATACATGAGATCTGTTTGCCCAGGAGCTGAGAAAGCGTGGCTAATGCCACGGTTCTGTCCCTGCGTACCTTGCGAGCCAAGTCCCTGATGCTCCTGCGTCTCTCCTCTGACAGGTACACATGACACGATTCCGTGTCTATTACTGCTCCCAGGTGAAGCAGACGGGTAGATGGATTCATCTGGCTCTTTTTGAAGTTGATCAGGAAGCCGTGGACCTGAAGAGTCTGTATAGTGAGAGTCAAGTCCGAATGGGCGGCTGAGACTGACAGGGACTGGATCAGGATATCGTCCAAGTAGCACTGGACCCTGACTGGGACCAGCTGCAAGTGAGCCGCCAACACTGCCAGGATTTTGGTAAAGACCCTGGAGGCTGAAGAGAGGCTGAAAGGAAGGGCTCTGTACTGAAAATGGCGGTTGAGATAGCAGAATCTTAAGTACCTGTGATGAGCTGGGAGAATAGGGATGTGGAGGTATGCCTCCTTCAGATCTATGGATATTAATAAATCTCCCCGCCTGATACTGGTTAGGATGGAGTGCAGTGTTTGCATTTTGAACCGTTTGTAATGAAGGTGAAGATTCAATCCCTTGAGATCGAGGATTGCCCTCCATCCCCCCAAAGACCTTGGGACTACAAACGGGATTGAGTAATATCCCTGCCCCGCCTGGCTTGAGGGAACCTCCTCTATCGCCTTGATGGCTAGTAGATGCTGTATAGCGTCCTCCATGAGTCCCCTCTTTACTGGGTTTCTCATGGCTGGGCAAGACACAAAGTGATTGAATGGAACGGATTTGAACTCCAGGGACAGGCCTTCCCTTATGGTATGCAACACCCAGGAGTCTGTGGTCGTGTTTTCCCATTGGCGAGTAAAGTGAGTGAGCCTACCACCAATGGGGGGATTTCCCTCCGAGTCATTTGCCTCGGCGGAAGGACCGACCACCTCGGCCACGAAAGGAATGTTTGGGTTGTGGCTGGTATTTGGACCTGTCTCTATAAACTGTCCTGTCCAGTGAGCGCTCCTGTTTGGGAGCGACCGGTTGGTACGGTTGTGCCGACTCTGTTGCTGTCCCTGCCCGAAAGGGTTGCCGGCGACTGTAAGGGATGAACCGTCTTGTGGACCTCTTTGCCACGTGGGAGATCACCTTTTGCTTCTGCTTATTTTCAACTAAGTACGGCGTTAGTGCATCCCCAAATAATTTGCCACCTTTGAAAGAGGCTGTGGCCGCGTGCCACTTATGCTTACTTTCGGCTCTCCAATTTTTTAGCCACAGGAGTCTCCTAGCCACCACGTTGGAAGCCATAGCCCGGGCTGAATGTTTGGCTGAATACAAAGAGGCATCAGCCATGTATTCAGATGTGGCAAGTATTTTTGTTAGGTCCTGATGCATTCTAGTTTCCTCAAGCGGGATTCTATCCCGCAGCTGACGCAGTCAGGTGATAGAGATTCTTGCTAAGAAGGAAGTGGCCGTCGCTGCCTTCACAGCCCAGGCACATGCCAAGTGCGCTTTTGTTGGAGTTGTAGCCCCCTCCTCGCCCCCTCCTTGCCCTTTCTTTGCCCTTTCTAGAGGAAATGTCTGCGGCAAAGCTCGCTAGCTCGTAACACAAATGGCAAACCGCATGACAGTTAAACAGGATGTTATGCAGAACTAAGCTCGAGAAGGCACTAACCACATGGTTTTGTTTTGTGTAGCCAGGTGGGCAATATAGGTCAAACATGTCATGTACTCTTGACATGCTCTGAGACTAAGTAATGGGAGTGGTTTTAAGCTTATGGCGCAGCAAGAAATTATATGTATGGCACAAATGTATCACATGTAATCAATGCTTATTTGCATATTGTAATCAATAAAGTAGTTCCCGGACTTCGGTTCGGGGCAGTCCCACCCCAAGAAAACCTCCGTGTCAGGAGCCTTCTTCCGTGTATTCAGCCATTCGTGGGATCTGCCCCACGTATGGGGGGATAGCAAAAGTGGTATCCCCTCACGCTTTGCGTAAGGCCATTTCAGATTTTTTATCCTCTGCCTTAAGGGCGTCCGATACCTCAGCTAGAAGGCTGGCAGTGGAGAATAGCAGTGCCAGCGATTCATTCACTTTTGGGACCTCTAGTAGGTCTCCGAATCCCTTAGGCATGTCTACCATTTTGCGCTCAGACGCGCTCTGTGACGGCTGGGCTGCTGGTGATTCCCACTGATCCTGAACATTTTGGAAGAACAATTGTGGACAAGGGATATGGAGGTGCGTGTCTACAGGCACAGCAAACAAAGGATTGGTTTCCTGATCGGAGGAAGGCTGAGGGGTTGGTACCGACTGAGGGGAAAGCTTACTTGCCTCGCACGCTCTGCATAACAAAGCCAGAAATAGTGAAGTATTAAAAAGCTCCGCCATGGATGGTTCCTTGCAATCCGACCAACTGTCCTTGCCTCCCCCGTAATCTAAAACATCTGGTTCCGAATCAGGGGATTGGGAGGGAGAAACCATACCTGATTAATCCAGTAGAGGCCTCGCGGCAGTTGTTGGTGCCGAAGAAGAGGATGGTCCTGGAACGGAGGGGGCTTGTTGATGACTCGCTGATGCCATGGCTTGGCACACTGCCTGTGATATCCACATTTGGAGCTAGTCGGAGACGGACTGCTCTAGTGGAACCCTTAACCCTGCAGCAGGTGGTGTACTGGCAGCAGTGGGCGCTGCAGACGAACCTGGCAAGGCAAAGTTCTCCCCAAACACGGGTGAGCCTACCTGACCAAGGGTCCAAGTTGGGACCTGTTGATGCCCCGTCTCCGGCAACCATACTCTGGATGTGGATGGTTGAGGCTCTCCCCTGTCCGGTGGTGCGGAGGTCGGCAATGTGAGACCTCCTTCAGAAGACAAGCGTTGGGCCCGGGAGAATTGCTTCTCCAGGGCTCTGTGGGTGCGTTCAGCCAGTTTGTCGCTCGCCGCGCCAGCTTTCCTGCCATGCTTAGATTTGGATCTCGCCTTACCTGAAGGAGGCTCGGGTGCCAGCTCAGTTGAGGCGGGAATGATGTCCATGTCCAAGGAACGTGGCTCAGAAGGGTCTGCCATTTCCATCGAAATCAACCCAAAGTTGCCTTTGGCCTGATTCGTTCTGCAAGGGACATCAGAGGCCCCTGTGGGGGACTTACCTACGTGGATTGGGTGGAGAAGAATCACACGTGTCCCACAGTAGTGGCGATGGTCAGGATGCTGGAACAACCACCAGATGCAGAAGGGGCAGACAGGCAATATGGCGACCAAGCTGAAGAACCAGAGCTGCTGGTACCACACTCTTGCTCACTGGTGTCTGGATCAGGTGATGGCTGAAACTAAGACTCAGATGAAAGAGTCAGCAATTTTGTTAATCAATCTAGTTTAATACAATTAACATTTGTAGTTCACCCCCACCCCCGTTATTGCATTCAATTTAGATTTTTTTTTAAAAAAATATTTTTTATTTTATTTTTTTAATTCTAAATGGTGACTGCCAGGGGGATTGAGCCTCCAAATGGCGGGCTCTGTGAATGTTCCCCTGGAGTGAATAACAGGAGGGAGGGGGGTAAAGAAGGGGGGGTGTGAGGGATAGAATTAATGCTGCAGTGCAAGGGACCAGTGACTGCCACAAACGAGGCTAATTGGAATCTGCTATTTGGCCCAGTGCGTGAAGCAGGGGATTGCATCTAACAGCTGTTAGGCGCAAAAGGCTTTACCGCTGCCCCACAGGCTCCTAACGCTTCCGCGGTGGCTTTAAGTGATTGTAAGGCCACCGTCGGGCTTTCCCTTGTCGCAGCAATAATAAGGTGCTTAGAAGTAAGATTAGGCCTTTTGAAATTCAAATGGCGGCCGCTAAGAGTCCCTAGCCGAGCCTGGCCAGGGAGAAGCTACGAGGCTGCGAAAATGAAAGCAGTAAGGAAAGGAACCACGCACGCGAAACTGAGTTCAACAACCCCTTTGAAATGCGTACAGGTTAAACCTCCCCCCCCCACTGTTTAGGGCAAGGTTTGTTTGCTGATTCAGCAGGATACTGAATCTGGGGAAGTGAAAAACCCACCCACCCTTTCCTTGGAAAGTTTTAACCTAACCCTGAGGAGGGGAATGCAGCAAATCCTTACAGAGGGGAAACAAAACTCTCACTAAGCTGCTAAACTCTTTTAAAGAATCCACCAATGAGTAAATTTTCTATCAGACCTGCTCCAACGTAGAGAGAGTCAAGAAATCACATCTGTATGGGCAAAGACCAAGAAGAAAACTGGGAGGTCCCCAGATAATGAGGAGGCGTGACAACTTGGTCTGATTGGGCAGGAGGTGGATTCTTCTGTCATCATGCTGGAGAAAACATTTTTTTCCCATGTTTTAAATTCGTAAGCCACTTTTGGGGCCCTTTGGGAAATATGGAAGCTTGTTCTTTGCTAAATTCTTGAGAAAAAGGATTTGAAAATTCTTCTTGTCATGTATTTATAATCCTGGGTTTATATATAGATTTGAGTTCAGTTAAATTTAACAGCCAAATAAATGAGGTCAAATAAGGTAAATAGGGTTTTCACAAAAAGTTGAGACTATACTCAAGATTATAAAACTATAAATAATTACTGCTAAATATTTACAATTGAGAATAAGCTGACAATTTCTTCCAAGTATATGAGCAGCCACTGCAACGTAGACTTGTTAACTCACAGAAGAACTCATAAGCACTTATTTTTATGTCTTACAGCTCAAGAGATCAAAACAATGAACTAATTACTGAATCTGCTTTAGTTTATTTTTAAAAAAGTAACTGAAAATCTCAAGTCACACTTGACTTATATTTCATAAAAATATCCATGTGGCAAGAAAATAGAAGTAATTATCTTCTGCCTTCTAAAGGTTTTTTTTTTTTTCAATTCTCTTACCACTCTAGTATTCTCAGGCAGTCTCCCATGCAAGTATTTAATGTTTTTTGTTTAGAAGCAAAGACCAAAATATCAGACACATTACAATAAAGTTCAATATAGGCAAGAGAAGTATATAAAATTAAGAGAATCACTGTATTCATTAAGTTAATGTTGTTTAAAATTAAATTTATGGTTACAGGGCAACCTAGGTTAGCTCAATTAAAAGCTGATATTATTCTAAAATTCTGCAAAACATTTGACCTTTTCTATATTATATACCAAGATGTTTGCAAGTTATCGCACATTATTTCAAATTCAATACTGCAGATTTAAGACAATTTAAATTAGAGGAAGGAGAAGAGCAAAGTTATGTGCATGTTGCTTTGTGGAATCTGGTATCATGATGTTTTGGGAATACAACTGGGGAGTGCTATGCTGAGGAAAAGTTTAGTAAAAAATAGCAAAGGTTCACATAGGCACAGAAGATAGTGGTCCAATATGTAGGAAAGATGTAAGTAGTGAGTATTTTGCAGATAATTGTCTTGATTCAGTGATTTCCTGGACACTACAGCTCTTAAAACTCTCTTTACTCTCTTTACCCTTAAAGTCATGAATAAAATGTGTCTTAAAGAAATATACAATACAAATTATATGCCATATAACTATATATAAATGCATTTCATATACTATTACAGATTTAGTTTCCAGCAAAAAATAAAGATCCTTAGCTATTTTAAATATATAAGAATATACTTTATATGAAAATCAATTGGTGCATATGAAAGCCATAAGCTGCTGTAACCACTAGTAGCCAGCTGAATGTAGGACATAGAGGACTCCTCAACTAGAGCATACATCCCAATACAATGATATCTTGGTATTCAACTGCTTTGAAACTCGTCAAATTTGGTAATTAACACATTTTGATACAAAAGTTTTGTCCCAGTACTCATCATTTATTTGGTACTCAACACACAAGCTTGAACTTCTCAAGGTCAACTTCCTTGTGATTCGCTACATTAATCCTTATGGGAAAAATTTGTTAGGTACTCAATTGTTTTTGGTACTTGATACGCCTCCTGGAACCAATTAACAATGAATACCAAGATACCACTGTATGTACATCATCCAGTTCAATAAGCATTATGAAGCACAGAGATGAGTAGTGATAAATATACATCAATATGATAAATCTTCAGAGAAAGTTAAACCTACAATACAATGGAAACTAATTGAATAAGAAAAATACAGATGGTGAGAGTCAGAAAGAGATAACATTAAGGAAGTAAGATAAACCATATAGGCAAAAATAGTTGGGTCTGAGAAAGGAAGAAGCGAAGCTATAAAAATATATAGGAAATGGCTAGCCAGGAAGGTTGAATGGAGAATAGGAAAATAAGCTGAATAAGATAAGAAGAGAGGCACACTGAATTGAAAAGCAGGAAAAGAACTTATTGTTTAAAATGGAGATATAAATATATACTAAGTTTAAAATAACCATTTACATGTCTAATTTTTCTTATTCTTATTGTATAAGTGAATATGATTTAGTATGTTATCAGGAATGTGTATAGGCGGACAGAAAGAATGTAACCTCATACTACCTCAGCCAATGGGGAAAGAGGAGGGCTGTAGCGGCCGGTGATAGGGATG